AAAAGATGCAATACATACATCTGGAGGAATGGTGAACAGTGCTTCTTGTTTATCTGTAAATCAAGAGAAAAATGCAAGATTTTACCATATGAGCACACAATGACTGGATATGTGAATAAAGGACAATCTTCGATAGGTATGTTTGATTTATTTTATTGGTAGGTTTTTGGTTATCAGAATGCTTTTATCATATTTGTTGAAAGACCTGTAACTGAAAAACTTATATATTTTTATAGAAACATTTGTTTTACCCTCTTCTTTTTTAGATTGTTCTGTATGTTAGACTGGATATTTATCCTTACCAACAGTCCTAAAAGCTCCTTCCAAAAATGAATGCTTTGAAATTCTGCTCTGTTCTTAAATACTTGCAAATTTACTCCTAGTCAATCATGAATTTCATAATAGTTTTAACATAACCTTTATTGCTATTCTGTCTGCTTTCTCCTCTTCTTCTTTCTTCTGTTTATTTTCCACTGATGCACATATTGATGACTTGTGGGCCCATGTCTCAATATCCTTGAACCTATAGAAAGATTTGCCAAAGCATTTTGACAGCTTATTTGGATTTGTTTGTTTTTTGGTAGTTTTTGGGGTAGAAAAAGGATCAAGTCAAAACTTGCCTCAGAATTGAGTGCAGGGCTTTTATGTTCAAAAATCAAAGCTCACAGCCAAAAACTCACATGATAAGAGTAGGGCAGGCGAATCAAATTTAATTTTTAACACAAGGCAATAAAGTTTTTTCTATTGAATCATTAAACATGACAAAACTTTTGATAGATGAACTGAATGCTACACATTGTATAGTTATGTCCATGTTTCCCTCACCAGTTTTTGTGAAAGGTACTGTGCGACATAGAGAGATTTCAGTGACTTTAGAAATATGAGAAAGTTTCAATTCTGTTCAGCAAAGTTAAAGGAAAAAACAGACAAAAATAGTTTCAGCAAATAAAACAAAAAGAAGGCCCTGTAACCAACAAATGGCAAAGGGGCATTTAATAATGTGTAAGTCCGTTGGAAATCAGGCCTTATTCCTATTACTCCACTTTTGTAGGAAAAAGAAAGTGAATGAAATCGTTTTTGATTTTGGGTTCCCATTAATATGCTCAAAATGGAGACATTTGATAACGATATTCAAAGTTATCAACCGAAAACAGAGTTGTTTGAAAATGAATCATTTCAATGGGAACAGTGAAAACGAAGTCATTGGAGAGTGGAGTCATTTAAAAACGAATTGTTTGAATGAGATTCTAATCGAAAACGGAGTCAATTAAAACCAATTAGTTCATCTTCAGTTTCAAGATGAGTTCAAACAAAGGATATGAAAAAGGAGAAAACAGAGTAATGGGAAAACCTGCGTTTTCGTTTTGGCCAAAACGGTGTGAGCCAGAGCAATTATTTATTATTATCATTATTATTAACTCTTTATTTACAATGTTAGCATGAAAAAGGTATAAAACAGCCAAGCATAGCTAACAAAAGCCAACTATTTATAAAAGCAAGCAATGGGAATGGCTCAAGAATATCGGAAACTGAATGATTTGAAAACGGAGACATACGAAAACTGGGTCGTGGTACCAAGGATTTGATGTAAAACTTCTGTTTCTAAAAAGAGTTTCTAAAGTGGAATGACCTATCAGCATCCTGTAATCGCGCTCTTCAAGAGAAATATTTATCACTGGGTGCGCAACTTATTGCTTTCAAAGATAACCTCAGGCACATTATCGCACACCCCCCATTGAAAGCCCTGGAGTGAAAATTTTTGGAAATTTTACAGATTCCCCAGGAAATTTTATGTTGAGAGTTTGTAATTGTCTGGCTTGAGTTGGCTGATGTAAGTTAGAGAAAAAGAAAGGAAAGGGAAAGTTTTCCTGAATATTCCAATACTTTCTTGCTGTATTTCAAGCAGGATCAATATGGAAACCGTATCATCCAACTATCTCACAGACAGCAAGGTTCTAGAAGAGTACCTTGGTCTTCAGAGGAGGCTTGAGAATGTGCTGCCCTGAATTACATTCAGTGAGATGACCATTAGTTTCCATGTTTCAGAAAAAAACATAGATAAACCCAAAAATATTTGTTTTGCATATTGGATTTATTAGAGCAAAAGTGATGACAACTTTCCATACAAAGTGATTTTCCCTTGAGGAGAGTAATTATGAATTTCTCTTTGGTGAGACCCCACCATAAGCACTAAAAGGGTAGATATGCACAAGCTAACAGATACAGGCTGGATTGAGATGTTTGTCAGAAAGTTTATTCCTGCTTACAAGCTGTTTTTTTTAAACTTGTCGTTATCATTACAGGAAGCCATCAAAATACACCACAAGAGGGTATAAATTCCAATGCATCACCGCTTGAAAAGAAAACCTCTTTAAAGGCACAGGTACAAATTTTATAAAATTATTTGTTACTTACAAATTCATTATACTTATGGGTAAATTATTTTTTATTGAAGACATAAAATACCTAATAAGAAATGCTTTGTTTTTGTAAATCTTGGAAAGTTCTTTATCAGTTTTTTGTTTT